AGGAGAGAAAACTTATAGTATGGTCTGATAGGTGTGTAGGACAGAACAATAATTGGCGGATGGCAGCTTTGTATCATTACCTAGTTTCATTGCGTTATTTCACAGAGGTCAATCAGAAATTTCTAGTCACAGGACACAGTTTTCTTCCATGTGACCGCGATTTCGCCATTATTGAAAAGTTTAAGAAAACGGCAACCCTTCATGATCCTCAAGATGTTGTAAATATGATTAGGAATATAAGAGAATCGAATCCATTTGATATTTTGGAAATGGAAGGACAATTTTTTGATATGTCGTCGATTGAACTGCAGATCTATAAACATCCCGATATCAAAATTACTGAAGCAAGATGGATCCAGTTTACTTACGACGAACCAACTGCCATTCGTATAAGAACATGCCACAATCCAATGCAGAACTGGATGGTTTATAATATAATAAAGAAACCCAAAGGAAAGAGATCCCAAACTGCCTCATTACCTGTGTACAACATAGTTGACCCTACCGATCTGCCAATCCTTTATCCTAATAAACTACCTATTAATGCCTTAAAAATGGCTGATCTTTTAAAGCTTATAGATTACTTACCTCCATATAAAAGAACTTTTTATCAATCGTTAGATAGTGCAGATCCAAATGTTATGTAGGATAAACACTTAAAAATTGAAAATAAAATAAAATCATACATTTTTTGTATTATTTATATTAATAAACTATTTACTAATAGTTTAATATTACATTTTACCGTGCATTTATTTTTCCTGTAATACTCCTTTAATCTAAACTGCGTTTTGTTGTAAAACGTTTCAAGTACATAATTAATATTAGTTAGATTGAATGTAAAAACGTTACATATGGGCATGTGTAACGTTTTTAGATTGAAAAAATTTAATTCTGTCTAATAGTATTAAAGTACATTTTAAAAATAAAAAAAAAATTATAGCAATCTTTAACAATAATGTGTAAGCATCATATAAACATATTTTTATTGTAACAGGGAAAGTTTCTATTGTTTTCTTCACTTCCTGTAAAAAAGTGATTTTGCTGTTTGCAACCTTTTTAACCCTGCATCACTCGCGCTATGAGTATTTCTCTCACACCTACCAGTAAAATGCAAATTTTATTAACGGTAAATCACGCATACTGCTACCCCCACTTCTAGCTGAGTTTCTAAGGGTCTTCGTTGTTACGCTTGAGCGCATGCAATATTTAGTGCATGTTGGTAATAGATATCGGGCACTTGTCGATCGTGTGCAGATCTCGGTGAGAATTTCTCTCATCGCGCAAGTTCTAACGTAGTATATTTTCTTAAGGTTGAATAAAGTTTTGGTAAGTAAATTTAAGATTTTTTTATACATAACTACTTTATTTGCTTTTTAAATAAGGTCAAGGTGTTCTATTATTGTGGTATTGTTATTTTAGATAGTAAACAATGAGTAGAGGACTGACGCTTGCAGAATTAGGGCGAATTCGATATGAAGAGGCACAAAGAGAAGGTATGTCAGCTAACATACCATGGAGTGGGCAAGAGGAATGTCAAAATCAAGAAATTATGGAAGATGGCGGACGAGTGGATGTTGAAAGTGACGCTTCCAGTGAACATAGTATGCATAATACCGATTCCGAACAATCTGATGTAGAAGTTGAAAATTTTGTTTATGAAGTTGACGATAATCCCGCATATACATCAAAACATCATTTCACTGGTAAAGACAAAAAAACTCACTAGATGGCTTATCCTCCACGACCTAACGTAAGAGTGCCTACAAAAAATATTGTTAGTCATCTTCCCGGAGTAAAAAATATTGCAAAAGATGCAAATACTGTCGAAGCATGCTGGGAATTATATATTACAAAAGAAATGGTTGAAGAAATCGTACAATGCACAAATATCTATCTAGCAAAAATACGAGGTAACTATACGAGAGAAAGAGATTGCCGTGACACAGACGCTACAGAAATATATGCTTTTATCGGCCTCCTATACATGGCTGGGGTACGAAAGGCTCAATATCTAAATACTAAAGAACTTTGGGCTGATTCAATATTTGCTCCTGCTTGCTTTAGACTAACGATGTCACGAGAACGATTTCATATTTTAGGAAGAGCACTAAGATTTGACAATATCAATGACCGAAACGAAAGAAAAAAATACGATAATTTGGCTCCCATTCGAAACATATTTGAACAGTTTGTGTCCAAGTGTCAAGAAAACTACCAAGTTGGAGAGTATTGTACAGTGGATGAAATGTTGGAAAGCTTTAGAGGGCGATGTAAATTTCGGCAATATATAGCCAACAAGCCGGCCAAATACGGCATTAAAATATATGCCTTAGTTGACTCAAGGATGTTTTATACCTGCAATATGGAGATATATGCAGGAAAACAGCCAGTTGGCCCTTTTTATCTAGACAACTCTGCATCTGCTGTTGTTATGCGTATAGCAAATCCCATATTAAACACAGGTAGAAATATAACTATGGACAATTATTTCACGTCAGTGCCGTTAGCCAAACAATTACTTGATAGGAAAACTACACTTGTTGGTACCCTAAGGAAAAACAAGAGGGAAATTCCGCCAATATTTATAAATGTGAAAAGACCTGTACCTAGTAGCATGTTTGGTTTCCGAAAGAATACTGTATTATTATCGTATAAACCCAAACCTCAGAAAAACGTATTGATGTTATCTACATTTCATTCTGGGGACTACATCGATCCTGAATCTGGCGAACTGGAAAAACCTGAGATCATTACATTTTATAACCTAACAAAAGGAGGTGTCGATGTGGTTGATGAATTAAAATCAACTTATTCTGTTTCCAGATATTGTTGCCGATGGCCACTTAGAATTTTTTTTACAATTTTGGACGTTGCTGCTATTAATTCCAATATTGTATATAAAAGTAATACCGAAGTTATTGAAGAACGTAGAATTTATCTCAATCATCTGGCCGAAGCTTTGATTAAACCTCTGTTGATTCGTCGTTCATCGATCAGGTCTTTGCCAATTAATATTCGAAGCATGCTAAGGGAATATTTAAATATGCCTCAGATTGAACAGAACAGAGAATCTGTTCCAGATTTCTGTGGATTTTGTCCAAGAAGAAAGAACAGGAAGTCAAAAAAACGATGTGTTAGCTGCAATGTTGCCATTTGCACGGAGCATACCACCTTCACATGTCCAACGTGTTCTGGCGTAAACGATAATAGTGGTACTTCAGATGATTAAATTTTTGATTAATATTATGTTTATTTTATCTGATTTAAGGATAACATTAATTTAAAGATAGATGTAAAATAAAATATACAGGGTATTTTTTTTTAGTTCTTAGCATTGTATAAGTTTTCTTTTTAGTATTTTTAATGTACTTATAACTCTATTTTTGGCATTTATTTTAAATAAACCCTTTTATTATTACCAATAGTTTTGTTTCATTTGCATAAAAAAAATAAAAACAGTTACACCGAACAAAATCTTGAAGGGTTCGTCATGTGAGAGAAATTCTCACGCGCGAGTTCTCGCGTAATTTTTTAAGGCGCGAGTGATGCAGGGTTAAAGGGAGGTATTCAAATAATAAAAGGATGTTATAGTATCATGGTCATCAGTCTAGCAACTGTTTCTAGTTTCTACACATGCCACAGAATAATAAACAATCAGAATGTCCACTCTCCATGGAAAATTAAGTACGCGCATCTCCTTCGCGCAGACGTTCCGCCATGTTTTAGAGGGAACCAGTGTTGTTTATGTGGTGTGCATAGAAAAATTAACCTGGTTTGGGTTAGTTGACTTACGGCAATCATAGACATAATATATATAATATAAATTTAATAGAATTAAACATAAATATAAACAATTACATAACCTCACAAATCATATGTCTGTTAATTACTATTAAACTGGGAATAAGCCACAATTAAAGATAAAAATTCGTTTATTGACGTTTCAATTTCCACTTCGGAAATCGTTCTCAAAATACTAAAAGTATTTTGAGAACGATTTCCGAAGTGGAAATTGAAACGTCAATAAACGAATTTTTATCTTTAATTGTGGCTTATTCCCAGTTTAATAGTAATTAATTTACAATGCCACAAGAAAATAGCTTCAGAATCATATGTCTGTGTTATGTGTATCCTTCTAAAACATGGCGCGCGTGCTGAAAAATTTCAAAGGCGGCATCTGAGAGTGGGCATTCTGATTGTTTATTATTCTGTGCCCATGAGCAAAAATTCCACTCCGTCGATTTATAAATTGAAATAAAGTCCGTTAACTACGTCTCCAGTGCATCTACGTCTACAGTCCGTCACACTATAAATCCGGCTTTAACGTTAACGTTTTGCCCTGCACTTTAACTCCCTAATGACAATCTAAGTCAATGTGGCTGTATATGCATGCTAGTATAGCACAAATCAGATTGAGTGACAGAAGATGATCGAAATTTTTGACATATTATTTTCCAATGTTTTCCCGCGTTGTTTTGTTTTTGTTTATTACTATAAATTCATAATTACCAGAGAACTACGAACACAGTTCGTGTGTTCGTAGTTCTCTGTCATTACTATTATTTATTTTAATACACATTAGATTAGTCACAGCTTAGAGTTTGCAATTTGCAAATGCGGTTTGCATCTATGATTCATGATTCATAACATGCAATTTGTTAGCCAATTAGAGATAACGTGCTAGATAAGATTTATACATTATGAGAAAATGCAGAAATTAAAAAATGTTAGTCCAGATAAGCTTAAACAATCATATAGTGTTATTACTCTGAGCAAAAAGCATTGAATAACATTGGTGATAAATCTTCAGATCAATATCTACAAGTGGCAAAAAGTAAAGCTGTTCATATAATTCGAAGTAAGTAAAGAATGCAATTTGGTTGTTTCATTTCATAACAATTAGAGCTAATATTGTATCAAATAATATAGACGCAATTGCATATATAGTTGATTACTGTTCTATACTTACATCACAATTTTTATGTTGAATTTTCTTTGAAGTGCATCATGTCATGGGTGTGTAGGTACCTGGAAACAATTCTGGGAATACCCTATTAATTTGAAATTTCCAATGGTTGATGATTGATCTTACAATACATATTTCAATTTAAGTTGAGTTAATTGAGGGATTGGGAACTAGGTATAAATTTCAAATTCAGGATCAAAGACAAATCATAAATATGTTAATATCAAAGTCAGTGAAGGATCAAAGACCAATCATATGTTAACTTGAATTACTTCTCTAGATTTTACTGTTTGTGTGTGATTGATTGACCAAGTAAGTATTTTTTTTTATCTAATAGTCATTTAATTGGTTTCTAAATTAATGTCTAATTATGATTTTGTATTGTAAAATCACACAAATCACAAGAAGTGCCTTCACATTTTGTACTTCTTCTTTTGGCATCATAACCCTGGATGGGTCTTTGCCTGTCTGGCTATGTCCTTCCATTCAGATCTCTCTTGTGCCCTTCTTGTCCACTGTCTTACTGTACATTTTGTCTCCATTGTACATTTTGTACTGATGGGTCAAAAACACAAGAGGGAATAATATTCCTGCACTGTTTAAAATAGAACTGCTATAGTAAAATTCATTAAGCGATGCAGGAAGATGTAAACATTAAATCGTGTCAGAATTGGTATGAGCTGCCGAGAACGTTGGCAGACGAAATAAAGATGGACATTTCAGTTAGTTTTTAAATATTTTTGAACAACTGTTACTTACATTTAAGCATAAAATATTCATTAATTTTATAAATCGGATTATTTTTTCACTTTCTATGTATTCAAAAATAACATTAACTTATTTACTATGCAATAAACACGAATATTTGAGAAAAGAAAAAAATAATAAAATGTCTTAATTATACTGTTACTTATCGGAACGAGTAGACTCATTTGGAACATCTTTAACCATTATCTGTTAAATTTATCGTTGTTTATATGCCCTGCATCGCTTAATGAAATAAGGTATAGCAATAGATTTTTTTTTTTTTTATTTAATTAATGGCTTTGGATAACTTGATCCATTCAGCCACGATAATGTATTTGACTACTTGAATTTGTTAATGATGTATTGACCTATTGCATTTGTTAACAAAATAGTACTTCGCATAGAGGTAAGCAATAGATTAAATCATGTGATTTGGGGCTTATTTCCATAGATCTTTGATTTAAAACAATCTCAAAAAAGGGTCTAATAGTGTCAAATCACATAATCTTGGTGGCATTCACATCACCTCTACATGTGATGACCATTTTTAGGATAGTAAAATACTTAAGTAATACACTGTAGAACAGTGTTATTGAAATACTAATTAGTTTATTTGTTAGTAGGACCAGAAAGTGTACCACCACCACTGTCACCACCAATTGATTCAGATAGGCTACCCTTTCCTCTTCCAGTTCATAAAAAGCCAAGTGAGTAAATGACATTTCAAAACATTTTTAATTTGGAAAACTGCAGCTGTACATACTATACTATAGTGTAAAAATTGCGTCCTGATACTGTTCATTAGCTAGGCTTAAGAATTATAAAGCAGCTATATATTTTGAATATATGACCTTGTTGCTCATATATAATATGTTTTGACATCATCATTTATTTATTTATTTCAATGGTAGAACCACCTAGAATAAAATACAACAATTAGTAAAAAGTAAAGATCATGTACAATAAACATCAAAACAATAACAAAGAAACAATTAGACAGTAAAAATTTGTACATTAAAACAGTATATCAAATCACAATAGTTAAAAAAATATCACATCTTTAGATTAATAATTAGATTCTTAAGTTGCCTTTTGAAAACATTAATGTTTGGACAGAATGGCTCCAATAGGAAGTCATTACAAGAGCTGAGCATTTTCAACAAGGGAAAATGATGAGCATAATCAGTCCTATGAAAAGAAATGTAAAAGAGTGCCATGGGTCGAGTTTTATTTATTGTGTTTAAATACAGATTGGCTAATAATGGGGCACAATTAATAACATTGTTTAGAATTTTAAACAAAAATAACATGTCAGCTCTCAACCTGCGGTTCTTCAGTTAATCAATGTTAAATTGAGACATTATTACAGAATAATCAATGAAATAATTTTTAGTATTTCTTATCTTAATATGTGCTTTAAAAGCTAAAGATCTTCGAACGTTTGGCTGAACCCCCACCAATTCATCAATGTACACTTGATGAAATGGGGACCAAAACATCATCTTGCAAGAAAACTCTTTTCCATTTATCATGTATACAATGAAATAACGTAAGATCATCAGCAAATAGCAGAAAGTGTGACTTTTTCATAGCCTTACCAATATTGTTAATGAACAAGTTAAAAATCCATGTTGTTCATCAATAATTATTATGTTACCACAAGCCCAGGTGAGATTTATTGAGTTTCAGGATTGATGATTGAATAGTTATACCTCTATAATTGTTTGCCAGATTTATAGATAGGTGTAAGTAAACTATTTTTCCAATATTGTGAAAATACAGATGATGACAATAATAAATTGAAAATTTGTTGTAAAGGTTTACAAAGGAAAAAACACACAGTTCTTAATTAGTGCTGCAGGTATACCATCGGGCCCTGAAGAATATGTAGTTTTTAATACTCATAAATCATTAACTCATAATCTCTCGAAAACAAGTTTGTTAAAAATGTCAATTAAGTAAATGTGCAAAGTGTATTCCGTTGTTTTGTAAACAGTACAGCCTTTTTTCAAATTCTACATGAACTTTGGCAAAAGTAGTTCTAGTAATAGCGCGACATGCTTGCGTAATTCTTTCTCGCAATTCCCCAAGTGACGCTGGTTGAGTTTTATAAACAACTAACCCCATAGAAAAAAGTCAGATGGCGTTAAGTCTGGTGACTTCCGTGACCACTTAATAGGACCTCTCCTTCCAATCCATTTGTTGGGATAATTAGTATCCAACCAGTGCCTAACTGGAGCTGCATAGCGAGGAGGTGCTCCATCTTGTTGGAAGTGCTGCAAATATTTGTCTAGAGCTAGGTTGCCTTGATCGTTCCTTTGGTTCTCTATATCATGCACAATAAAAGGTTCGATGGTGTTTTCCAGCATATGGAGATAAATTTCGCCACTTAAATTGCCTGGTATGAACAAGACTTTCTCTGAATCGATGAGGGTTCGCATCACTCCAGTACCGATATTTTTGTTTATATTACCATTCAGCATTAAAGTACATTTATCAGTGAAACAAATATTTTTTAACATTCTCGTTTAACATTCGCGAATTCTTTCAGTCATGAGTTTACAAAACTTTGGCCGGTCTGGATCATTATCGCCTAGTTCTTGAAGAATTTGTGTTTTGTACGGGAGAAACTTATGTAATTTCAACACCTTTCTAACCGACTCCTATCATTGCAGATACTTGACGTGTTGATGCAATAGGCTATATTGCAAAATTTTCATGGACCTTAATTTGGGATGCTTCATTCAGTAATCTTGGGACATCTCTTTTTTTATTTTGCACTGATCGCGTTTTTCCAAACATTTCAACTAAATCGCGGACGTACACGTGACTTACATTTTTGTCCGGATGAAATATTTGAGCTTTTCGTAAATAACACTGGTTCTGGGAGGCAAATATGAAAATGATCTCCATGCATTCAGGTATACAGTAAACCATCGTGACAAATACAGATGAATGGCAGTACCGATCGTACAAATAATGAAAACTAATGACATTTAAAATTCTCAAATAAAACAAAAATTATCGAATCTGACAGAAGCCAAAAAATGTTTTTGGGTTCTGTGAGATGTTTTCAACTTGTTTTGCAAAAACGGCAAATTCAGTTTTCATTTAACAAAAAAATCCCGACGGGTACTTATTAAAAAGAATAGTCCGGGAGATAGCATTACAAGTACAAAAATCGTAGTAAGCCGGCTGATATTAACACCCTGTATAATTATTAAACAATAATTATACAAGATCATCAACAGAATTAACAAAAACCTCATTAAATTTTCCATTAAGTCAAAGTTTCACAATTATTGCTTCACCCTGTATATTTAGTATTAATACCATTGGATAGCATTTTTTATAGCCTTTTCAATTATGTATCACACGAAGGGGTTTGCAATTTAAACTTTTTTGGTTGTGGTGGGTGGGGCCTAGGGGGTTGATGAGGATGAGCTCTCTATAATATCATTTTAGTTCTCCCTTATCATCCTATACTAAAACAATTTTTGATTGAAGGTGATTACTTGGCAACATCACACTTAACGAAGCCCTTAACAATAACTTTTCAACGAAATCATATTCCACTTATCAATTTTGCAGAGGCGTACCAAAAAAAATTAATTATATATTTAAACACATAAGTAGTTAATTAAATCTAAGACCGATATAATTATTAAATTATCATGTGTCGTTTGACACGTATATTATAGTTGTCTAACAAATTAAAGTAAAATTTTATTCTTATTAGAGAGTACCTAATACAGAACTTAAAAAAACAGAAAACTTTGGAAAATACTTATTTTTTCATTAGACTAAACGACTAAACGGTCTGAAATTTTAACATGCGATCTCGTCATTATACATCATTCTCTATTTATAGAATTGTAACTGTAAACGTTATATTTGTTTTTTTTTTAACTTAATTTGAAAGTTTCCTTTTGTTTATTTGTTTATATAAATATAAAAATATATTATGAAGTTTATATAAATTAACATGAAGTAAACTAAACTATTATCATGTAAATGCGTGTATATATTAGTGCATTTGTTTATTTCAGTAAATTCTCGAACTATGGAATGAAGATGGCACTAACTACTTATGAAGAGTTAATAGCTTTGTTAGAAGAGGACTTAGATTGTGAAAATGCTGATGTAGAAGACATTGATAATAATATTATTTGTGAAGAATCAATAAAATCGGATATTGCAGGTACATATGAAATACAAGTGATTGGGAACTCTGATGATTCTGATTATGATATTCCTTTGAACAACAGCTAAAACGTCCAAAGAAAAAACCAGACAAAAATAGTAAATGCAAATTTGTCCCAAGTTGTAACAACAGATACTTCTTCGTGTTGCTTCGTGCTCAGTATTAATTTAACATCAGTCTGATTGAAATTTAGACAATATAAAAGTCAACAATAGAGGCAGGTCATATATTGAAGTTTTTTCAGTCTTTTTTGATAAAAAAGAGTAACATTTTTTTATATAATTAAAATATTAATTATTTCTAATCCCTCTACCCCTGTGGCTGAGACGCTTGCAAACCCCTTCCTTGCAGTCCATGCAAAACTATTACTTTTTTAATCCAATATCATTAAGTACATGTATAAAAAATAAAAATAAATTAATGAGTCAGCGCACGGATGCTGTCGGTCCGCAGTAGCAGAGCGTAGATACAGATAAACTAATACCTATTAGAATTAGAACGCTAATAGCAGATAAACTAATACCTATTAGAATTATAACGCTATTAGTAGTTATATCACCGTACACCTATTCCAAATAGTAGGTTCACTCTTTTGATCTCGGCTCTCGCCGAAAGATTTTTTGTCGGTAGTCAAATTTAGAGAGGACTGACTGGTGAGAATTTGATAGGTACGGGGCGTGAGACGACGGGGGCAGGTAAACCGGCGCTAAATCGAGAGTGACCACTGCCACCTTTACTTCCAAGCCATGAAGTAAAAAAGGCAACACCGCATTCTATGACGTCGGTAGTCCGATAATCAGCTGTAAGGTCTACCAGAATATTGAACTAATTTGAATTTTAAAAAACTGATATTTTGAAAACTTCAATTCATTACAGAAATATTTTTAGGGAAATTAAATTAATAAAACCTTATATATACCTAGTAAATATATATAAAGTTTTATTATTATTTAGGTTATATTATTAATAAAATAATCACTAGAGTAAAATTTATTGCACTTAAAAAACAGTGTCAAACAGTTAATCTTACAATCAAATGCAGTCAAGAGTCTCTAGAAATTTTAAATATTAAGTACTTAAGCATATAAATAATACAATACATTAACACAACATTTAAAAAGATTATTAAAAATACAAAAGATATAAAATTTGTGCTAAGTAAAAACTTAGTGTAACTATTATGATTAAAAAATTCATCCTAAGAAATCAGACACAATATAAATATGGTTCTAAATTAATCTAATTGAAAATTAAATATTTTACTATTTACTTATAACTTTTGTTGAATTTTCATACTTAGATATACAAAAGTAGCAATTTTAAATATGAATAGGTTTGTTGTCATATAGACCAAGTTAAAAGAGGTATACATGAAAAATGTGTTGAATGTAACATACCATTTATAACTTGTATATCGATTTAAAATAGCCTATATTCTCAAAAGATTTTTGAATGTAATACTCAAATTTGTTATCACTTATCTAAAAAGCAGATCTAAATGAG